TATATATATGGTTGCAGGAGAATCGATCTTACCTGAGGAACAGGTAGTACGATAAATAAGTCAAGCAAGAAAAACCCAGAAAGATAACGTGACCTGATTTTTCTAGGACTTTTAACCAAGTCTTCAGCACCTACAACTACTGAGTCAGGTGAAATGTATGCTAACCTGAACTGCAAAAGTAAAACACATATTACATGCTAATTACTTAAAAGGATAATGTAAAAAGAGGTGATTAAACAATGGTTTACCTCAACAAGCATGCGCAAGAAATATATAAGGTCCGTTATGCTTCTGGAAACCACAAGGGTTATTGCCATTGTCCAATCAATTACTACACACTTAAAGTCCTGCATGCTTCCAAAAAAGATGATAGTCAAAAGATTAGTCAAAGACTAAAAAAAAAGACACTATATAGTATGCCCATTAATTCGCAAGAAAGGTTACAAAAACATTCAACTCATAATTAGAGTTTGGAACATTTAGTATACAGTTGGAGATGGCGCCAGTTCTCATGATTGTTAATGTTTAATTTTGTGTTTCAAAGTAGAAATAAAAGAAATGACCGAGTTGTGTTTCATATGTGAGAAATAGTAATTTTAAACTTAGACAATTAAAAAAGTTGGTTTTTAATTACCATAATCAGGATAAACAATTATTAATTCAAACAAAATTTTTAGTTGTTTCTACTAAAAGCGCTCTCTCTCTCTCGTAAAAGAATAGTTTTATTTTTCTTTTGTCATGTGTCACCGTATTAGAGCTTCTAATTAATGTCATAATACTTGTCAACCTTTTAATTATCCATTTTAAATTTTAAATTTTAAATTTCCACTTTAAATAAATTAAATTAATTACATTAAAATAAAAATTAAAATAAAATTAATACAAATTATAAGATGATATAATTTAATCTATTTATTTAAATCAACTATTATAATTTTATATAACTAAAAAAATATCTCTTAATTAATTATTTATTTAAAATATGATTAATAATTTTGAGTTTCCTATGAAAGTTTAATTAATTTATAATAATGGTTCCCACGGTTATAATCTAGTTATGTAATACAAGAGTGAATTAAACAATTTATGAGCATAAAAAAATTTAACCTACGTAAAATGATAGTTTCATATCAAAATTAAGTTTTACCTTCTTCATCGACAGCAAGTAAAAGAATAAGGGGTCAATGAAAATGGCAAGTATGCAAGAAACGAGCACGAATTGGTTCAACAGTTGAACAAGTTTTTCATCTGGCTTCATGACTCCAAATGTAAAATGTTTTAGAAATGATAACTTTTGATGTGTCCACCTATTTAAAACACCATCATTCTGCAAAGCAATACAACTACATGATCAATATAGAACTTGATAGGGAAAGTTGCAATAAATAGCAACCACTTTGACTTCATTTCTAACTTAAGTTTCTAATTCAAGCTCTTGCTTTTTTATGGTAACAAGTCTGGCATGTTGTGTAGTGAGGATCATTGCACATCCCCAACTCTCCTGACCTCAACAAGCTAGTGCTTATATTTTGCTTCATTATTAAATTAAATTTCTCAATTAATGGTTATAAGTAGTTCTACTATAAAGGCAACAAGACTTACTTCACCCGAATTCAATTCATTGGAGATCACTGGGATGGATATTGAAACACTTTTGCTCCTGTTTGAAAATTTTCCCTTTCGACTATATTTGTGTACATCATCTTCTCCACCAGCGTCCATTAATCAAGCCTCAAATACAACAGCTGTATGACAGTATGAAAGAGAACGAAATACAAGTCAACAGCTTTAAAATCGTTGAAAATAAACTTACTACCTGTATTCCTTCTTAGTCTACTCAATCACATTTTCAGAAGCAATCAAAGTGAAGCTTATTCATAAATTTAACTAAAAAAAACGGAAAATCATAAGAAGCCAGAGGAAATGAAGACATACCTGTTTAATGCCTCTAGTTAAGCTCACCGTCATCGGTAGCTAAATTGCGTGTTTAAATAAGAGGATGATAAGAAACATCCAAATGAACGAGATTTGTATTCATTGAATGTAGATTTAGGACATTGTATTAGGCTTGCAACTTGCAAGTTGCACTTGGCCTGATCAAGTAAGTGGATGATGAAATTTTGGAAGGTAGTACGAGAAGGCAATTGCGACAAAATCGAATTTGACTACGATCTACTAAGCATACTCTATGCCCACCGTTTCTTTTTGAGAATGTAACCATGAAAAGTCAGTCAACGCACGACAATATCTACTTCAATTTTTATTGAAATATAGTAAATTACACAAATGGTCACCATGTTAAAGTGAAAATTGAAGTTTTACTCTATTAAACAAGTCCAATTAGCCTAAAATCATCCCCCCTGGAAACTTTTATACCCACCGTATTTCTTTGCGAATGTAGATGACACGGCGGACCCGCACACTATGATTTTTAATTATTGATACAACTAAAGTCTAAAACTTGGCTAATTGTATGGTTTTCTAAATGGCATTTAACTCCAACGGCTAGAAACAACCACCACGTAATTTTTTTTAATATTTAATTTTTTAATTAATGTAATATTTTAATATTATGCAATATCAATTATTTATAAAATTATTAACAAATAAAAGGTAGGTGAGATATATTAAATATAAGACGTTTATATGGTAATCTATGAATCTTGTAGGGTTTAATGGATCGGAAAGGTTTAAAGATCGAGTTGTATAGATAGTGACACTGTTGACATGGCAATTTCTTATGTTATCATGAGTGGTATACATTGGAGATGCCGACGAACACCACCCATCCAGAGCACCACCCATCTGGTAAAATGCGCGCCGCCCTAACCACTCCCTCTTTCCTTTTCTACCATTTTCGGGCGGCTTCCACCTTAGTAACCCTATATCCAACACCACTCCCACCATCCTTCCCCACCCCTACATCCCCACCAACCACTCGACAACTCAACTCGAGAGGAACAAAGAAACGACACGCGTATCTCTAAAGAAATGGAGAGATTACTAGAAGTTTAGTTGTTGTTAAAAAGGTCATAACGGAGAAAATGGTAAATTCAAGGGGTTATATTTTAAAAAAAATATGTTTAAACAGAAAAAAATTGAAAATATAAGGTCTTTTATAATATTAATTTTTTTTCTAAAGAAATATATCTAGGCAAATACTCATGTCCATCGTCAAAAATGTATACCTAAGACCAAACGGTGTCATGAAGAAATTGCTGTCGATATACTGGCATGGCATGTATTTCCGGAGGCAAACACCGCCTCGGCGCCTCCCAATGGGTTTTTTGTTGGCGGCATGTTGCCAATGGCAACCTTCTGCATTTCAAAAAGGAGATGTTGGTGGTGGTTGTTTCTAGCTGTTCGAGTTAAATGCCATTTAATGTTTCTTTTTTTTTTTTTTAAATTTACTACCGCTCTATTTATATACCAATCATTCACCTAAAAAATACCTATATGTATATAAATGTTCTTCCAAATTTTTATTTTACAATCCTCTCTTGAAAATGGAAAATCTATTAGATAATTGTAAGTTCTTTCTAACTGATAGTTAGGCTGAATGTCACATACCGTTAAAGCGGAAACACGAGGTACAACAACTAAAGAGGTTTCATAAAAAAAAGTTAAAGATAACATCACCATAGAAATAAGTATTTAAAGTTTACAACCCATGTTCGACATAGTTAAAAAAAAGTCAAGTTCCCAAAATAACATTGTTCGAAAGAGAAGTTCCCAAAATAACATTTCCACACGATGTAACATGCTTTATGATCACTTACTACTTATTCCTTGAAAAAATATGTAAAATGAAAGGTCAACTATGGAAATAGTTGGTGAGTTCACAAGTTTGCAACAGAATAAAGTCTTTAAGTCAAGAAAATCCGATTGTTGATAAAAGTTTCCATAAATAGAAGTTCGTTGCTAAAGTGAGTATATAAGTTTGTACACGCATAATGTCAAACAATGAGTTTACAACCAAGACTAATGACCGAAAGATGCACTATCAAGATATAATTTTATCGCTAACATAGGAAAATATGATAATATGCATTCCACGAAAAGGGAGAGTGAGAAGTTGTTAAATTCTAATAGTGTTATCCATAATGACCATCGGCACAATGAGTTAATGAATTGTGAAATGTTTCAGCGATTGATACGATAAGGTCTCATGAATCAACATTAGCATACACATACATAAGATTACAACAATCAACTATCATATATGTTAAATTAAGTACAACGAACATAAATGCATGAGAACATGCTTAATCACCCAAAAACTTAAAATCATAAAATAAGGGCTATGAATATTGGCGATGCTTCGAGATAATAGTAGCGATGCATTGAATCTAAGAATCTGTGTAAAACTTAGCTTGCACTTGGTTCGCAGAATGCTTTTGAAATGAATGGAATTTGTCAAAGGAATTGGAATATGGAGGAATTGGAATCTGATTGTACTAGAAACTTAAATGCGTTTGGGTGACATAGAATGAAATCTGTTTTCTTTTTGGTTTGCCGATTTCCCAAAGGAATTGGAAAACGAACTTGTAATATGAAATTTTTTTAATTAAACTCTTCTATAAAATATAAATTAAAAAATAACTAACATGTATTTCGTTGAACACATGAAAATCATAAAAAACATTTTTAAAATTGAAATAAAATGAATAAATGATTATATATTATAATATAAATCAACAAATGTCATTCATTATTTCCAATCCAAATTAAAAAAAAAAGGTAACCACACACTATGTAAAATAATGTCTAGATACCTAGTTCATAATTATATCACTCTTCCAACATGAACCTCACAAAATCCCCCGATCTTCTACTTCCAAATTCCAAGAACTTAACACAGTTTCCGGATCAAGGATTATTTTCCTACTTGCTTTGAGCCTATCCAAGGCATTCAATGACTGTATTTTTGAAATTCCAGGAATCACCGTTGAAGCTTTTTTGTACTTCAGTTTCCCATAGTATTGCTTGATTCATGCTATTTGCTGCTTTTTCAAGTTTTTCTCCAAGGACGTTAGCTACAATAGTTATTCCTTTAGTAACATCCTCAACTCTTTTTCTACTCTT